CCCCAAAACCCCAAAACCCCAAAACCCCATTTCTAAAAATCTAAACTAAATATTTATCAGAAAACTCTAAGCATGAGTGTCAAAGTAGCAGCGAGAGTGAGGCCCTTGAGCCAAAGAGAGAAAGAGAGGAGCTGCACAAGTTGTATTGCAATGGATGGACCTTGCACTTTGATCTATGATGTAGCCACACAAAGAACAAGGACCTTTACCTTTGACTACTCGTTCTGGTCATGCAATGGATTTGAAGAAGAAGATGATGGCCTTCTTGTTCCATCAGAATCTTATTATGACGACCAACATAAAGTTTATGACCAAATCGGAGCAGACTTCTTTGAGGATGCCTGGAGTGGATATCATAGTTGCTTGATGGCTTATGGCCAAACAGGCAGTGGGAAGAGTTACTCCCTGATGGGATACGGACCGAATCAAGGGATCATCCCGAGATTTTCTCAAGAAATATTTCAGAAAATTGATGAAACTACCACACAAGACAGATGGTATGAGGTTAGTATGAGCATGTTTGAAATTTACAACGAGCGTATCCAGGATTTGTTAGCCGACCATAAATCAATCCCAGCTTGGGGTCTCAAGGTGAGGGAATCTAAGAAGCTAGGAATTTATATTCAGAATTTATCAAAGCACTCAATTGTACTCTCTGAAGACCTACTCAAACTTATCGAAAAGGGAAACAATAATAAGTCAATAATGGCAACTTATATGGGACAATCTTCTTCCAGGAAGCATACAATCATTACTCTTTCATTAAATCAGTTTGAGATTATCGATGGGACTACAACTGAAATATATTCTGACATAAAATTCGTTAAAATGGCTGGTTCAGAGAGACCAAGAACGTCTAATGCAACAGCGAATTGGCTCAGGGAAGGAAGAAATATAAACCAAAGCTTGGCTTGCCTTGGTCGTATTATTACAATTCTTGCTGACAAGGCAAATGGGAGAAGTACAAACTCAATAGTACCTTATAGAGATTCTGTTCTCACCAGAGTTCTATCAAATGCTTTTGGGGGGAACTGTAAAACCACTATGCTCTTCACCCTATCCCCAGCCGATATCAACTATGAGGAAAGTTTAAGCACTTTGAGGTATGCTAATAGAGCAAAGATGGTCCAGAACAAGCCCACTACAAATATCATTATGAAAGATAAAATGGTTGGGCAACTTAAAAATGAAAATGATAGACTTAAGAGATTTATCATGACTCTCATCAACCAAAAGAGTCCTGGCTCAAAATAACACAAGCTTATTTGGAAGCATTGAAGTCTTAAAAGCTGACACTAAATCTGAAACTAACAACTCAGTTGAAGAAAGTAAGGAGAACCATAAAATAGAGGACACACATCAGCATATTTCTTGTATTGATAAGAGAGAAGACAATAAATTTCAGAAATGAGCAAAGGTTCATAAGGGTTTTCCTCCTTATTTGGTTAACCTCAATGCAAACCCTCAACTTTCATGATTGCTGTACTACAGTCTTTTAGACTCACCCATTTTGGTAGGAAGAGCAACTGGGATTCCTCAGCCTCACATTGTAATAAATGAAATGGGGATCCTTCCAAATCACTGAGTATTTGAAATGGTAAGAGAACTTATAGCTCAGAATCTGAAATCTGAGTCTATATCAACCATACTATTACAAGACTCTCTTACCTTTGATAATCCATCGAGCTACGACTTCAACTTATTTTAGGACTCAAAAGAACCCTCAAAGCAGAGAAACTATCCTGAAGATCTTCCAAAGTTCTTCTTAAGACCTTGCGCTAAGGAAGCATGCAACACAATCTGGGTAAATGGAGAGACTCTTTCAGTCGAAGGAGCTCAGCTAGGCCATAACGATAGAATATTTATTGGAGCGTCTACATTGTTCCTCTTCAAGTTTCCTGAACTAGAAGTCCTCAAATATGGCAAGGAGGTTCCAAATGAAATCACTTGGGAATTTGCTCTGCAAGAAAAGCTGTCTAAAGTTACAATTTCTAACAAAGTTACTAAAGAGCTTGGTTCTAAAATTTGCCCAATGAATAATCAGATAGATTTAGTTAATTCTTCACTGTCTACACAAAATAAGAAAATGGAGAATATAACACAAGAAATAGGTAATTGCCCTCTGATTTACCCTTTAATAGGAGGTAAAGTCTTAACTGCAGAAAGAGAGAATAAATCTTCTTCAGAAATAGAACAGATTGTTCTGGACCAAATCGAATCTGTCAAGAACGAGATGGGGCCTGAGTAAGGCAAATACATAAAGACTTAAGAATCATGAACTCATAATTCTTCTTCAAATCTGCTGTCAATAAATCATAGGCTCCATCATTGCCACTACTTGTGCTATAATTTAGTTCAATTTAATATTCTGGCAGTGGGGTTTTGGGGTTTTGGGGTTTTGGGG